TCTTTGCTTACAGCTCACCCCTGTACTGGAGAAACAAAGAATGGCATTGTGGCATGAATGAAGTATTAACACAGGCCCTTCCCTGGCAGGCCCCCAAATTGAAATTCAAGTCAAGTTTCCAGATTCTCTGTGGCAGTTGGACACCTGTGAAGGCAGGCACTATGCCATCAGAAGAAGCAGCACCAAGTAACAGGCCTCTGTTCCCTTGCAACCTGCACTGCTGGCTGCACAGCAGCTCTAATCTAACCTGATGCCACAGTGGCACTCCAAATCCCCACTCCTGATTATCTTTCAGGAGATACCTTTTGCTCTTCCCCTCTGCATGCTTATCCTAACTCCCATGGTGAACCATTCTGCCTTTTACCCTGTCTCCATTGGAAGTGGAAGAAATGTCCACTCCCATTTCCTTCCCACTCTAGCCCTTGGGGTGAATGTTTCAATGTACACATTTTGCTTTAGAGTTTTAACCTTTGCTCAATGAAGTTGAAAACTTCCAGGGATATTAGAAAAGGGAGCTACCCTAAGGCAATTGACATTGACATAGTAAATGTTTTGAAAATACTCAGAGTCATTTGCATCTCAATGACCCTTACCTGGGCAATTTCCTTCCTCTCTAGAGTGGGGGAACTGGTCTCACCAATACAAGGAGATTTGGAGGGTGGCTTGGAAGAGACACTTGGAAACAACACATGTGGAGGAGCTCAATTCCCTCCCCCCATTACTGGAGCTCCAAGGTGTGTCACCCCTGGACAAGGTCCCAAGAGGCACTGCTCTTTTGCAGCATGGCAAGTGGATATCGAATATCTTCTACTTCCTGGGAGATGTGTGATTATCCTGGTCTGGGAGTACTTGCTACTAGGTAAGCTGATGCCCAAAGAGAGTTACCACAAGATTAAGGAGTAAAAAAGGTTAGGACCATGTCACCCAAAATTCTTCTGTTGCCCAAACAAAAAGTTTTCAAGGGAGGCTACATGACTCTTCCAAAGCAAATCATACTTGTCAAAAGTGAGGTCCAAGCCCTCACACTGTAGTGACTTTCTTATGATCATCATGAAAACAAATGCATCTGCTCATATTATACATTTAGGTCCCTACCAAAAGTCAAGCATGCTTCAGCTCCTAGAATCCTCCCATTCAATGGAAATGATTTTTAGAAGAACTTAAACTGATGTGTCAGTCCATTTTATACAAAAATGACAAGTCCCAACTAAGGCTGGTGGTATATGTCATGTCACCAATGTGTTTGCCTATTGGTGGATGCACACTGCATGGAGAAGTCTATTTCCAGCTGAACATTCTCCATTCTTCTCTTTTTTTTAACCTTTTTTTAAATTGGTTTTTCAAAACATTACAAAGCTCTTGACATATCATATTTCATACATTTGATTCAAGTGGGTTATGAACTCCCATTTTTACCCCGTATACAGATTGC